GGAGAGTTATTTAAAGGGATGACAGTGAATAGGCAATGGCAAACATTCAAGGAATGCATGGGGGAACTGCAACAACTGTTTATTCCTATCTGGCTCAAAAGCAAAATGGGTAAGAGGGCCAATCCATGACTTACAAAGGAAATTAGAGATAGTTTCTGAACCAAGGAAGAAACATACAGATTGGCCAAGAAAACTAGTGTCTAAGGATTGGGAGCAGTTTAGAATTCAGCAAAGAAAGACCAAAGGATTGATTAAGAAGGGGAAAATAGAGTACGAAAGTAAGCTTGCAGGGAACATAAAGACTGATGCCAAACGTTTCTATAGGTACATGAAGAGAAAGAGTTTGGTAAAGACAAATGTAGGTCCCTTACAGACAGAAACGGGGGAATGTATAATAGGGGACAAGGGAATGGCTGAGCAGTTGAATACATACTTTGGTTCTGCCTTCATAAAAGAAGACACAAATCAGATACCAGAAATGTTGGAGAATGTAAGATTTAGTGAGAGGGAAGAATTGAGGGAGATAAATATTAGTAGAGAATTGGGGTGCTTGGAAAATTGATGGCATTGAAGGCGGAGTACTTAAAGAAGAGGCTGTAAGAACAGTGGACGCGTTGGTAGTTATCTTCCGGGGTTCTATAAACACTGGAACAGTCCCTGCAGATTGGAAGGTAGCTCATGTCATTCCAATATTCAATAAGGGAGGTAGAAAGAAAACAGGAAATTATCAATCAGCGGGCCTAATATCGATAGTGGGGAAAGTTTTTGAATCCATTATCAAGGACTTTATAGCGGCTCATTTAGATAGTAGTGTCAGGATCAGACAGCGTCAGCGTGGATTCATGATGGGGAAATCATGCTTGACAAATCCGTTGGAATTCTATGAAGATGCAACTAGCAGAGTTGACAAGGGGGAGCCAGTCAATGTGGCATATTTGGACTTTCAGAAAGCATTTGACAAAGTCCCGCATGAGAGATTATTGTGCACGGGGCTGGGGGGAGTGTATTGAGACGGATAGAAAACTGATTGGCAGAGAGGAAAGAAAGAATAGGAATTAATGGGTTCTTTTCAAATTGGCAGGCAGTAACTAGTGGGCTACCATAGGGATCGGTGCCAGGACCCCAGCTACTCAGAGTACATATTAATGATTTGGATGAGAGAACAAAATGTAACATCTCAAAGTTTGCAGATGGAACCAAGTTGGGTGGAAGGGTGAACTGTGACAAGGATGCAGAGATCGTTCGTCATGATCTGGACAGGTTGGGTGAGTGCGCAAATCAATGGCAGATGCAGTATAATTTGGATAAATGTGAGGTTATTCACTTTGGAAGCAAAAACAAGAAGGCAGATTCCTACCTGAATGGCTGTAATTTGGGAGAGGGGAGTGTGCAGTGGGACCTGGGCATCCTTGTGCACCAGTCGCTGAAGGTAAGCATGCAGACACAGCAGGTGGTAAAGAAGGCAAATGGTATGTTGGCCTTCATTGCGAGACGTTTCGAGTACAGGAGCAGGGATGTGTTGTTGCAGTTGTACAGGGCCTTGGTGAGGCCACACCTAGAATATTGTGGCAGTTTTAGTCTCCTTTTCAGAGGAAGGATGCTCTTGCTCTCGAGGGAGTGAATTGAAGGTTTATCAGGTTGATTCCGGGGATGGTAGGACTGACGTATGAGGAGAGATTGATGAGGTAAGGGTTGTTTTCGCTGGAGTTCAGATGAATGAGGGGGGATCTCATAGAAACTTATAAAATTCTAACAGGACTGAACAGGGTAGATGCAGGGAGGATGTTCCTGATGGTGGGTGTGTCCAGAACCAGGTGTCACAGTCTGAGGATTTGGGGTGGACCATTTAGGATGGAGATGAGGAAGCATTTTTTCACCCAAAGAGTGGTGAGCCTGTGGAATTCATTACCACAGGAAGTAATTGATGCCAAAACACTGAATGTATTCAAGAGGCAGGTAGATATAACACTTGGGATGAGTGAGATCAAAGATTATGGGGGGAGAGCAGGATTAGGCTATTGAGCTAGATGATCAGCCATGATCGTGATGAATGGACGAGCAGGCTTGAAGGGCCAAATGGCCTCCTCCTGCTCCTACGTTTCCAAGGGTTTCCAATTCATCAGTATTTTGAAATATATAGAGTCTTCTGCATCATTTTACGAGGCTATGCAGTGCAGACTTCAAATTGGGCATACAATACTTTTGCTTCTGATTGTCCAACCAATTCATTTTATGGTCAACAAGTTGCGAGCAGTGTGCAAATGCATTCTAATTATGCATTTCCAATGGGGAAGGATGTTGAAAGCAGGACATGTTCCTTTTTTAACAATCTTTCATGTATGATACCCAAACAGTGGGTATTCCATTTTGTCCTTCAAAATACACAACCAATTATTGCTATCACAAAGTGGGTTCTTTAAAATGACCTTAAATGCTTGAAACAGCATATCTGATTTAGAGATAATTAAAAACCTGCATCTTTTGGTTCATATTTATATTTACATGCACTTGTTTGTGAAGATACTTTAACTGCCTTGAATGACTCCAGAGCTTTCTATTTGAATAGACTCAGAATCATCCATGCTGTTGGACAAGTCGCCATCAACCTTAATCCCACAATTCAACTGTAGGTTAAAGTTGAAATTTCAAGTGAATATCCATCCTCATTTTGAAACATTAAGGGTTTCTGCCTGTACAAGAACTGTAGGTCCAGGTTATCACCACTTTGTGTGGGAAAAAAAAATTCCCCTCGAATCCCCTCTGATCTCCTTCCCTAAATTTATACTTCTGGTTATGGCTCTATCAACCAAAGGAAAGAAGGCTAACCACTTTTTCTAAAATCTTTTATAATTTTATATACTTAAATTAGGTCACCCCTATCTTATCTGTTCCAAAGAAAACAACCTTAGTCCCTCCAATCTTTCTTCATAACTAGAATTTTCCAGTCCTGGCAACCACCTTGTAAATCTCTATATTGTCTCATCGAATCACATCTTTCTGTAAGTGCAGTGATTAGAGCTGCAAACAGTACTCCAGCAACAGATGAACTAATATTTCATACAGCTTCAATGTAATCTTCCTACTGTTACACTCTATACTTCAGTTAATAAAGTCAATTATCCCATTGTCTGGTTGTCTATTATCATTGCCTGGTTTGGTGTGTCTGAACATTTGGAAAATAAGAACTCCAATTTTCCTTTTAATGTTTGCCTTTCATGAGTAGAAATACCATGGGCCGGATAGCTATCTGAATAGTGTGAAAAAAAAATCCACACACCTCCTTAGAATGTTAGCTGAGTGTTTGTTTTAGGGTCTTCCCCAAAATGAAAAGCAAGAATGAAGCTGCAAAAAGCAAATTTTCAACAAGAACTGGGCATAAACAACAACTGCCCAACTTCCTATTTATAAGCCAGTTTTTTGAATCCAGTTTGCCAACTTGTCTTGAATCCTGTGGGCTCTTATCTTCTGGGCCAGCCTTTTATGTGGGACCTTGTTAAAGACCTTACTGAAGTCCACTAAAACCACATCAGCTGCACTACCCTTATCAATACATTTCATCACCTTTTCAAAAAACTAAACTAAATTAGTTAGGCAAGATCTCCCTGTAACAAATTTGTACTGACTATCCCTGATTAATCTCTGCCTTTCCAAATATTGATTGTCCTTCAGAATGTTTTCCAAAAATTTCCCTACCACTAATGTCAATCTAACTGGTTTGTAATTACCTGCCCTATCCCTGCTGCCCTTCTTGAACAAACATACTGCATTAGCTATCCTCCAGTCATCTGGCACTTCACTACAGCCAGCAAAGGATTAAATATATATACCAGGGCGGCAGAAATCTCCTCCTATGCCTCGATAGCAGCCTGAGACACATCTTATCAGGCCCTGGGGATTTATGCACCTGTATGTCTGTTTAATACATCTAATACCTCCTCTTTATTAATCTTAATGTGTTCCAGAAACTCACTGTTCCAACTGATATCCCTGGCTGTAATATCTTTGGCCTTTGTGAATACAGATGAGAAACATTTGTTTCAGACCTCACCCATGTCCATTGGGTCCACACACTAGTTATTCCTTCAGTCTCTAATAGGTCCCACTCTCTCCCTGGTAATCCTCTTACTCTTAACGTACTTATTAAAAACGCTGGGGTTTGTCTTGATCCCATCCACCACAAATATTTTGTGGCTCCTCTTTGTCCTGCTAATTTCCTTTTTAAGCAAATTCCTACACCCTCTATACTTTTGAAGGGCCTACCCTGTATTTGGTGCATTTTACCTTCTTTCCCAGCATTCTCTGGACTTGCTGCCCTTGCCCTTGACTCTTAGAGGAGCATGCTGGCACTGAATTCTCACACACTGCTTTTAAAAGACTCCACTTTCCAAATGAAGACTTACCTACAAATAACTGCTCTCAGTCTATGTTTACCAAACTGTCCAATGGAATTGAAATTGACCTTCCCCCAATTTGGACACTTAACCTTTACACTATCCTTTTCATAATGACTTTGAAACCTACATAGTTATGGTCACTATTCCCAAAATGCTCACCCATTGAAACTGCAGCCACTTGACTGGCTTCATTCTCAATGACTAAATCAAGCACTGCCCCATCTCTAGGTGGACTATCTATGTACTGCACAAAAAAACTCTCCTGATGCACTTTAAAAATACCATACCATTTAGGTCAGAGGAGTTAGGTAACTTTATCTGCACATGCAATTAAGTACTCACTCAGCATCCACTGTTATTTCATGAATCATGTTTGTTTTTGGGAACATTTCCGTTTTTAATAAATAACAAAATGTGATAATTTTAAATCTTTCACTTATTCAGCGCATGCAGATATTTTCTGGTTATTAGAGATGTTACGTGACACCTCTGGAGCAGGTAGAACTTGGACCGGGACCTCTTGGCTCAGACGTATAGACTCAAGAGGCCCTAATTAAGTGAATACATTGCAAAAGTGACAATCAGTAATGCCTATTCTTGTTTCAGCATTTAACTGCTTGTGTGTTTTATAATCAACTGGATGTCTATAAACAGTTAGTGATTGATCCGATCAAACCTTCACACAGCGGGCAGCTAACTCTGAGGAGAAATCCAGATGGAACAATTAAAACAATACAAGAAGGGAAAGGGAATCCAGAGGAAGTATGAGCAACTAATAATTCCATTCTTGCATCCTTTGAGTTGGAAAGGTGGCTTTACTAAAGGGGAAGGGGATGGGTAAGCAGGGTGGAGAGAAAGGAAAGCTTTATATGCCATTAAATGAGATTAACAGCTGCAACACTTCGACAGGAAAATTTGGCAGCATATTTTAGATGAATCTGATTATCTGCTTGGATGGCTCAAATCTGCAAGTCTGATCAAGCATTCTTGAAAACTAAACTCAAGGTCAGGTATATCACAATCTACACAAGGTTTAACTTTATGTGAGTTTCAAAAATTTCTGTTTGGGGTACTCCATACAGCCATTGACACACCCAAGGGAATGGTCTTCCTAAGTTTCAAAAGGTAGTGTCACCTAAAATTGATAAACATTTTTGCTCTATATCACCTTTTATGTACACAGAAACAATGTAATAATATGTTAACAAACTAGTGTGTGAAGTTTAAAAACAGCAGCCGAATATAGAAGTCTCAAGACTCAGCGTTCAAGACAAGTAACGCATCCAACCCCAGGCTTACTGAACTCTGATGACCTCTGTCTCTTGGAGGAGAAATATATTTATCACATTAGTCTCTCCTGTTCTCACAATAAATCCCCTTCTAAACATTATCTGTTGTACCAATAAGATGGCTTGGTGCTAAGAATGCACATCCCAGCTTTGGCATACTTAAAACTTGCACAAAAAAGGTTTACTCAGTCTTCATTTCTGTGAAGTGCAGATGCACTATTTGTGTTTGAATAGCATGCAAACTACACGATTTGGTTAAAGAAAGTTCCCCTTCTAAATGGAATGCACTGATTCCAACATTACAGTACAAATTGGAATTTCCTAGAATTTGCATTAAAAGTTAGAACATGAATTTGAAATAATTGGGAAAATATTATCGCGCTCTGACAATTGGGTAACAAGATGATTTTACTCGTCTTTAGGACCTTCTGGTTGCTGTTTTAGAGAATGGAAATATTCTCCAAAAATACATACTTGAAGAGGTACGATCAAATGCGAAGCTGAAGGTTGATGAGTTGTCGTATCTCGAGCCAAATGTAGAGTTGCTTCGTGGAAGTCAATTAAAAGGCAATTCATAACAATAGAGCAAAATACACAGCTGTGCTGTCATCTGGAAGCGTTGGTTAAAGTACTGTCGGCTACTGAAAAGAAAATGGCTAAAACTAGCAGTGTACAGTTTGATATTCAAAAGAAGAAACCAGATTCTAGGATTTCATCAGTAAAAATATTCTGTCAGGTCTTAAAAATGGGACATGTTTTTAATGCCATTTTGATAATATAGCTTTCTAATGTTTAAACGTTCTCAGCAATGAGTTGTTTTCTATATAGGCACTTTCTAGAAATTAGGGTCCCAATTTAATTAACTGCTAAAATAATTAGTAAAGTTAGGGTGAAAATATTGTGGAAGCCCTGTTTTGGGGTGTAGGGATATCGATGTGCAGTTGCCTATCTCCTTATCACAATGAGACAGGCCAGCCAAAGGCTTTATATTACTTCTAATTGAAATAATTTCATTGTGAAACACAGTGTAGAATGTGCTGTTGACAGACTGCATGCTTAAAAGGGGTCCCAGCAGGATGTACGTCAAGAATACGTTTCGGTTACCTTGTACATGTTAAAGGGATGTTGCATTCATTGTATGAAAGCTCTTGCATACTTGCTTGGAAGATTCAGATCAAAGCAAATACATAACAAATGGAGTAACAATCAGGCTCCTAGATTTTCTGATGTGGCACTTGAGACATTAATATCAGAGATAGGAAATGAGGAGAGATGGCATGTTTCTTCAGGAATCTAGGAGTCCTTCAAGGCAAACCCTGAGAGAGGAGGGGAGCAACCATCTGGCAAGGTCAACTCTACGAGTCTAGTCTGAGAACCTGGCTGTGGTGCTGGAAGAAGTGCAATGGCTTCGTACAAGCAGTTACGGTCGGAGAATGATTCTTACGTGGTATTTTCACCAGCATCTCATAGTGCTCAATGTGCCAGGCCTCTATTGTTCTTCCATCAGCAGGATTTAGATACATAATCCCATCTTTTTGTTCATTCACGGGATGAAGGTATCGCTGCCTAGTCCAGTATTTATTGCCCATCCCAGAGGGAAGTTAAGAGTCAACAACTTTGCGGTGGGTCTGAAGTCACATGTAGACCAGACCAGGTAAGGATGGCAGTTTCCTTCCCTAAAGGACATTAGTGAACCATACGAATTTTTCGGAGAATTGACAATGGATTCGTGTTCATCATTAGACTCTTAATTCCATATATTTATTGAATTCAGATTCCATCATCTGCTGCAGCAGGATTGAAACCTGGGTCAGCAAAAATTACCTGGCTTTCTGGATTAGCAGTCCAGCAATAATACCACTAGGACATTGCCTTCCTGTGTATCATTGACATCATCCACCCCAGGCAATTACTGCCCCATTAGCCTGCTCTCGATCATCAGTAAAGTGGTGAAAGGTATCATCAACAGTGCTATCAAGCTGCATTGGCTCATCAATAACCAGCTCAGTGACACCCAATTTGGGTTCCGCTAGAGCCACTCAATTCCTGACCTTATTATAACCTTAGGTCAAATATGGACAAAGACCTGAATTCTAGAAGTGAGGTGAGAATGCCAGCCCTTAACATCAAGGCTGCATTTTGTGGAGTGTGACATTAAGGAGCCTTAGAAAAACTGGAATCAATAGGTAGTCAGGGTAGTGGGTGGGGGTGGGGTTTGCAAACTCTCCGCTGGTTGGAATGATACCTGGTACATAGGAAGATGGTTGTGGTTGTTGGAGGTCAATCACCTCAGCTCAGGTAGTGTCCTAGGCCCAATCATCTTCAGTTGCTTCACCAATTATCTTGTCACCACTAAAAGGTCAGAAGTGGGGATTTTCACTAATGTTTGCAAAATGTTCAACACTATTTGCAATTAGTCAGATACCGAAGCAGTCCATGTTCAAATGCAACAAGATCAGGACAATATCCAGGCTTGGGCTGACAACGCCACACAAATGCCAGGCAATGACGATCTCCAATGACAGACAATCTAATCACTGCCCCTTGACATTCAATAGTGTTACCATCACTGAAGCCCCCATTGTCAACATCCTTGGGTTACCATTTACCAGAAACTCAACCGGACTCACCACATAATCATAGTGGCTATAAGAGTGGGTGTGAAGCTGGGAGTACTGTAGCAAGTAACTCACATCCATACGCCTGAAAGCCTGTCCACCAACTACAAGGCACAAGTCAGGAGCGTGATGGAATACTCCCCACTTGCCTGGACGGATGCAGCTCCAACAACACAGAAGAAGCTTGACACCATCCAGAACAAAGCAGCCTGCGTGATTGGTATCATATCCACAAGCATCCACTCCCTTTACCACTGATACTCAGCAGCAGCAGTGTGTGTTATACAAGATGCACTGCAGAAATTCACCAAACATCGTGAGACAGCATCTTCCAAATCCATGACCACTTCCATCTAGATGGACAAGGGCAGCAGATACATGGCAACACCACCTACTGTAAGTTCCCTTCCAAGCCACTCACTGTCCTGACTTGGAAATACGTTGCAGTTCCTTCCCTGTTGCTGGGTCAAAATCCTGGAATTCCCTCCCAAACTGCATTGGGAGTCTATCTACAGCACATGGGACTGGAGTGGTTCAAGAACTCAGCTCACTACCACCTTCTCAAGGGCACCTAGGGTCAGGCAATAACGTAGAGATAGTAGGAACTGCCAATGCTGGAGAATCTGAGATAACAAGGTGTAGAGCTGGATGAACACAGCAGGCCAAGCAGCATCAGAGGAGCAGGAAAGCTGACATTTCGGGTTGAGACCCTTCTTCAGAAATGGGGAAGGGGAAGGGGATTCTGAAATAAATAGGGAGAGAGGGGGAGGTGGATAGAAGTTGGATAAAGGAGAAGGTAGGTGGAGAGGAGACAGACAGGTCAAAGAGGCGGGGATGGAGCCAGTAAAAGTGAATGTAGGTGGGGAGGTAGGGAGGGGATAGGTCAGTCCAGGGAGGACGGACAGGTCAAGGAGGCGGGATAAGGTGAGTGGGTAGGAGATGGAGGTGGGGCTTGAGGTGGGAGGCGGGGATAGGTGGGAGGAAGGACAGGTTAGGGAGGAGGGGACAAGCTGGGCTGGTTTTGGGATGCGGTTGGGGGAGGGGAGATTTTGAAGCTTGTGAAGTCCACATTGATACCGTTGGGCTGCAGGGTTCCCAAGCGGAATATGAGATGCTGTTCCTGCAGTTTTCGGGTGGCATCATTGTGGCAATGCAGGAGGCCCAGGATGGACATGTCATCCAAGGAGTGGGAGGGGGAGTTGAAATGGTTCGCGACTGGAAGGCGTAGTTGTTTGTTGCGAACCGAGCGTAGGTGTTCCGCAAAGCGGTCTCCAAGCCTCCGTTTGGTTTCCCCGATGTAGAGTAAGCCACAACGGGAACAGCGGATACAGTATACCACATTAGCAGATGTGCAGGTGAACATCTGTTTGATGTGGAAGGTCTTCTTAGGGGGTGAGGGGGGAGGTGTAGGGGCAGGTGTAGCACTTGCTCCGGTTGCAGGGAAAAGTGCCGGGGGTGGTGGGGCTGGAGGGGAGTGTGGAGAGGACAAGGGAGTCACGGAGAGAGTGGTCCCTCCAGAAAGCAGATAAGGGTGGGGAGGGAAAAATGTCTTTGGTAGTGGGGTCAGATTGCAGATGGCGGAGGATGATGCGTTGGATCCGGAGGTTGGTGGGGTGGTACGTGAGGACGAGGGGGATTCTGTTTTGGCTGTTATTGCGGGGAGGGGGTGTGAGGGATGAGTTGCGGGAAATGCGAGAGACACGGTCGAGGGCATTTCAACCACTGTGGAGGGGAAGTTGCGGTCCTTGAAAAACGAGGACATCTGGGACCACCTGCGGGGATATCTGGGACATAATGGTTTCGGAAAACCGTGGCTCCAGAAATGCTGACAACTTAATCGCTAAACACATCTCATACACACAGACCAAAACCTACATGGCAATAGTTCAAGATCCAATCTCTAAAATACTACTGCAGTCAGCATCCCTTTTAACTTTCAGTAGTTGCGTTTGGTATGTGCAATTTTAATACAATAAAAATGTGTTATTTTTTGTATCACTGTTTGGTTCTAAGATTCCTTCTTCATTACTCTGGTGTCTTTCTGTCATTCTTTAAAAATAGTGCGCCTTCCATCTGCAGAATTTTTGTGCCTCTAATTTTCTTATTGATTTACACATGACCATCTTTCTGTTTATAATTGCCTGTGTGAGATATCATGTGTGAAAATGCCAGAACTGCTGCTTCTCTGATTTTAACACTTGATGCTCATCTAGATTGATTTTTAAAACTTGCTTGATGGCTATTTTGTCAATTCTTCCATAATCATAATTTCCTTTTCATTCTCATATTTTTCTGTAGTTTGAGTGATCTAAGCCACTGATCCCATAACATTTATTTCTCCCTTACAAATTCTACTAATCTCTGATCAGGTTTCTTTACTATAGTTCTAAATTTTAATCAATAAGCTTTAGGCACAAGCTCATAAACATTAAATATTTCTTGTTTGATACCTTTGTATTCTTCAGTTGTTCTTCTGACAAACCGGTAAACACAATCATAACTGTAAAAAACACTGTAAACATTATGGACCACATCTGTTTTGGCTGCTTCTTTTGTCCAGCTACCTTCTCAAATGAGGCAAAACCTCTTCCAACTCCATCCTCAATAAATTTAGGTTCTAAGTAAAGATTCTTAGTTAATCAAATCCCTGATTGGAATCAGGCTCATCCTCCAACATATTACCTCCTTGTGTTTTTACTCTAAGCTTTCCTTTGGATAGCTCATAAAATGTTATGACATAGGGCAGAAAGTTGGCCAGTTGTCCCATCAAGTTTGCTCTACCATTCAATGAGATCATGGCTTATTTGATAATCCTTAACTCACTTTCCTATTTTATCCCCATAAGCCTTGATACCCTTACTGATTAAAAGTCTGTCCACCTTAATCTTCAATGATCCAAAATCAACTGCCCCCTGCAGTAAAAAATTCCAAAGATGCACCGCCCTCTGAGAGATGAAATT